GTTAGAGGATCACCAGTTCGAAGATTGTACTCCTGTTCGTTCGCCGATGGAGCTTAATTTGAAGCTTCGCCGTGATTCTGGTGCTCCGTTGGTTGATAGTTCCAAGTACAGGAGCATTGTGGGTAGCTTGATCTACCTTGCCGCCACCCGTCCCGACATCTCATATGCTGTGCAGATAGTTAGCCAATTCATGACTGCTCCCACTGTCGACCACCTCTCGGCTGTTCATCGCATCCTCCGCTATCTGCAGGGATCAAGGGACGTTGGCTTGTTCTTTCCATCCCAGGGATCGTTCTCACTCCAGGCCTTTTCCGACTCGGACTTCGCTGGTTGTAGTGACACCCGACGGTCTACGACCGGGTGGTGTGTTCGGTTTGGCCATTCTTTCATCTCTTGGCGGTGCAAGAAGCAGGATCGTGTGGCCAAGTCTTCCACTGAGGCCGAGTACCGGTCCATGTCCGATGTTGCTTCCGAGGTTGTCTGGCTCACTCGGTTGTTAGCTGATTTCGGAGTTCGGTGTCCACCGGCGGTTGATTTGTTCGTGGATAACACTAGTGCTATCCAGATTGCTCTTAATCCGGTGCTTCATGACCGGACTAAGCACATTGAGCTTCACATTCACTATGTTCGTGACCAGGTTCGCGATGGATCTCTTCGGTTGCACTACGTCGCTTCTGAGGATCAGATTGCCGATCTTCTCACCAAGGCCCTTCCCATTAGTCGTCACTGGTATCTATCTGGCAAATTGATGCTTCGTGACCGGCATCAATTTGGGGGAGGATGTTAGACGAATGGGTTTTTGGGTCTCTGGTTTGGCCTTGTTTGGCCCATCTTGTATCGGCTGCTCATTACTATCCATTATGTACTCATGCAAAGCCCATGCAAACTATTGCACACGTTGTTGTTAGGGTTTGCTAGGGTTAGGATAGTATATATATGGCTGTGTAACCGAGTGGAACAATTAAGCTGAATAAGAGATCCCTATTCCCCGTGGACTAGTCGGTATTGCTCTCTGCAATATCGGAAACCACGTAAATCTGTTTGTGTTTTCGTTTCAGCTCAACAGGTGTTCTAACAGCTTTCGGTTACATTATAATTATAATAATGTATTTGTCTTATGATAATCATGGTCCATGAAACCGTACCGGAGACCGTACCGGGAAAGTCAGTGGTAGGGTATTTTATGGTAAAACCGTGATTTAATCGTAATTTAACCGTTATATCGGTAAATACCGTCTACCGGTTTAGCCTCCGATACTGGTATTTCGTGGTTGAACCGCCGGTACGGTATGGTTTCATGGACACTGATGATAATAAGAAAATGATTTGTCTTCTGAATAGGGTGAAAGCACTCGATCAACGGGCAGAGCAGGGAGATTTATAGGATGATCAATGTCCTGGAAATTATTCAACAAAGTAGTTATTGATGAGCACCAAGGTCGATATTAAGACCACATTGTTCGTCACCTTATGTTTGATGAGTTGAAAGTAATGGACATAGAAAAATGAATCGACAATTTTTAATATGTATCTTGAATTGTTTGGAGAATGAATATGAACTTATGTAGTTCTAAAAAAAATATGAATTTATGTAGTAGATTGACTCGTTGTGACACAACTTAAATTCTTTTTCTCTCTCAAGGGCAGAGGCGGAGGAAGCTAGTAGTTAGAGTGTTCCATGGCACGCCCTTGGATTGAGACTAGAACATTAAAAAAAATAGTAGTTAGTTTATCCTATAGCTTGAATTTGAACATGGAACCCCATTGTTGTTATTAGTTTTGACATCTTTCATTAACCCACGATTACTTATGTGATACAATAATCGTTTTATTGTGTATATATAATTAATTTACCGTTTACAAATATTAAGTAAATTAAATTTAAAAAAAACTCATAATTGTATCCTTATTCAAGCAGTAATCGAAACAGTTATATCTATGAGATGAAGATAGATAAGATGTTCACTGGAGTAACAGGGAATGCTGAGCTTTCTAGTAAGATGGTTTCTACAAAGCGGCATCTGGGATTTCCATCTGTGTATCTTCTTGTGAAGTTAGCATTGCTACTACCAGTCACCGCTACAAGTGTTGAAAGAGTATTTTCGGCAATTAACTACGTGAAGAACAGTCTTCGGAGTCGAATGAGTGATGATATCATGAACGATTTTTGGGTAGGATACATTAAGAGTGGCATTCTTGATAGTATGGATGATGAATGTATTTTACAAATTTTTCAAACCATAAGAATCCGTCGTGGTCACTATAGGTGTCAAAACATAGCCCGACCCAATTAACCCGCCCGATTAACCCGACCGCAACCCAAATTGACTAAAAGTTAACAACCCGTAACCCGCCCGACCCGCAACACGATTGAACCGCAACCCAACTAACCCGCAACCCGAATGACCCGCAACCCGATTAACCCGAACCCGATTGACCCGCAACCCGATTAACCCGAATCCGATTGACCCGAACCTGACTAACCCGTAACCCGACCGACTCAACCCGAATTTCATCTAATCCACTTGAATCATTATAAAAATATACAATACATAGTTTTTCAAAGTAAAATTTTTCATTCTAAACTTAAGTAAAATTATTTTTTCGTTTCTTATAGGAAATTTAAAAAATATGAAACTCACTTGATATTACGTATTTTAAGAAAATTACAAAAATTGAAACATGAAGATCACTTGAGATCATGACAATATTAATATAATATATAAATTAAAATTTTGGTTAATTTAGCTATTCAATAAAATTATTAATTAAATATAAATAAAGTAAAGTAATGTATTTGGTAATTTGATGTTTTTAAATGAAGAGAGAAATTTTTGTGTATTCAAGTTTTTGGGAAGAGAAAGAAGAGGGAAATTTGGTTCTTTGAATTTTTTAGAAAAGAAACAAGTGGGAATTTTTGTGGTTTTGATATGTGGGAAGAGAAATAAGTGGGAAAGTTTGATTCTTTTGATTATGAAAGAGAAATAAGGAGGAAAACTTTTGAGTTTTCAACTTTTTGTAGAAGGAAAGAAGAGGGTAATTTGGTTCTTTCAATTTTATGGAAGAGAAAGAGGGAAAATTGAGTTTTCTAATGTATGAAAGTAGAAAGAAGGAGGGAAATTTTAGTATTTTTGTGAAAAGAAAGAAGGAAACAAATTTTATGTTTTCAATTTTTTAGTTTTTCATAATTTTAGCTTTTGAAATATGAATCTTTAACTTTTATATGGAGGGCATGACTAGTTAAAATTATTCTTATATGCTTTGAAGGCGAATATATATATATATGTATGTAATTGTTTATGGGCTAATAAATAAATTAACCATTAGTTACAACAATTTATACTAAACTTGATAAGTAATCTTCGACGGTTCGTTGTTTATGATATAAAGTATATGGTTAGGGTATAGGGTATAAGGTACATATCGTTTATTGTGTATATGGTTAGGGTATAAGTCTATAAGATATTGATGGTTTTGACGGTTCCAAGTTTTTTATTAACATATGTTCACTTGAAGTCATTTGAAGTCTTTAACGGCAGGAGATCTCTTTTTAATTTATGTTTATGGTACATGGTTAGGATACAAGGTATGTGGTGTAAAGTATAGGATATATGGTTAGGGTATAACAATTAGCAAATATCACTTTTATCTATGTTTTGAAAATCAAAGTATAAATTTCACTTTTAAATTAACTATACTAGCAAAATCACAACTCAAAGACATATGGTTAGGGTATAGGTTATGTGGTTAGTGTATAATGTATTGATGGTTTAGGCCTTAGGGTATACAATCAACAACATATACTAACTTAATATTGTTGATTGAGGGTAAGGCTAAGTGTATAGGATATATGCTATTGAGTAAGTTATGATTAAAGTCACAATAATTTTACTAAATTTGATAGCTAATCTTTAATGGTTCAATTTTTAGGATAATTCGAACAATTTTACAAATAACTCGTTTGGCAACAGTTTACTGAAGTTATTTGGGCAATGAGTTATTTCGAAATAACTCCTTTTATCACTATGCTTTTGCCAAATACCACACGCCAAATATCATATTTGCATGGTTATACTAAACGAGATACTTTAATCCAATTACTACTGAATTAATACTAAAATATCAAATAAACAATTAATGGTGTCTTTTGGTTGCAAATATTGATATTACCGTTACTATTAGCTATAATACTTTACCAATTATGATTAATTACATAACAAGTTTGCAAGTCATACAAATTGATTTAACGTTTTGACTAGTTTTTTTCAAAAAAATAAAGTATATATATACGAGGTAGAAATAAATTGGTTAAAAAGTTGAGAAAATATTTTAAATTAGTGTAATAAAATGTGTAAGTTGGTAATGAGTAATGAGTTAAGTTACTTGATGCGCTGGCCTGAACAACCCGAAACTCGATCCGCCCGCAACCCGCCCGACCCAAAACCCGATGAACTCGCAACCCGATTTGCCCGCAATCCGATTGAACCCGAACCCGATGAACCCGCAACCCGACTAACCTGCAACCCGTTTGAACCCGAACCCGATGAACCCAATCCAATGAACCCGCAACCCGACTAACCCGCAACCCGTTTGAACCCGAACCCGATTGAACCCAGCCCGAACCCGCCCGATTGACACCTATAGTGGTCACTATAAAAAATTGAGAGTCATTTTAATTTTTCAAGTTGGCACCCCCTACCCAAAATTCTGGCTACGCCACTGCTAATGGGTTCCAACTTTTTTGGCAAAGAGTTATACATTACCAAGAAACCTTATCTACATAATGTATGGTGCATTTAGCAAAAGCTATATCTCAAATTGGATCTTCTAGTCCTTAAAAGTGATTACTCTGGCCAAGTTTGGCATGTCATCTTGTTTACAAGTTCAACGGTCTTTCATCCCATCGACATTCTGTATCATGGTATCATCTGAACTCTATTTGTAATAATAATTCAATAGCTTCCTATATAGGAACGTGACACATGAATACGTGATCATTACCATATTTTTGTGACTTATTTCACCTGTTCCCCTTCTTCGCAAGCAACCAAATAGACAAGCACCATCCATGATCACTCCAATTCAAAGCTCTGTTAAACACTACTAGAAAAGTACATAAAACTGACTGATGTTTCACTCTATCAGCACCTCGTGTAAAATGTATGTGAAGGATCCAATCCCCTCAATTTACTTCACGACCCACCTATAATTCCTAATTACACTGATTCTCATCCATCTAGCACTGACAAGTACAAAGGTTAGAATCCGCCTATAGAGCAACGGTGTTACCTGATATACACCTGCTTCCTACTTCTAGAAACATAGTTACACCTCGACTACCTTCTTTCAAACCCTTTCGGTACAGGGCACAGACCACTCCCTTCTTTAACCGCCAAACTTCAGCCACGCTCATACTTCACGCAGCAACTGGTCAAGAAAAATTCCCAAAGCCGGTGTTCTGGCATCATGAGTTCTAGATGTTGGGGAAAGGACGGGAGAGATATGGTGCAAAGTGCCAAGCAGGTTTCATGGGCCATTCAACGGAAGAGTTCAGGGAAAGACCACATGATGAACTTTGCAAAGACGTCAGACTCCAGAAACTCAATGTGTGCCGCCCGACCTATGAATGTGTTGAAGTTCTTCCCATACACTGTTGTATCAAAGTTGACATCACATCGCATAAACAACCTTTGCTCAGTGGTTGAGGTCCGTATCTGATCCAGGCAGTTATTTAGCATCTCCAGGAATACCTTGCCTCTTTTGGAGTGGTCCAAGGTTGCAGCCTGGCACAGTTCGATTCTAGCTGAATGATATGGCACATAACCATCCTGTGTGGAAAATTGTGAAACCAGTAAAAGCTAATCAATTTGCCTACGAATTAATCAAGTCTAAGTATATATTGCACACAAGGAACCGAAAAGGTTACAAAACACAGATTGAGAAAAATGCACTAATATGGCTTAATTTAAGGTGCACTAATGCCATCCTCTCCCAATTTGTATGTGCCAACAATAGATCTCAACGGACAAACCAAGAACTACCTAACACGTGCAGAAACCCCGCTACTCATTTACAGATGAACTTGTAATCGTGAATATAAGTCATGGGCAACTGTTACTTTGCTGTAACAACGAGACGAGAAATAATTGTCACTTCCAATCAAGAGATACGTGAAGAAACGAGTACCTGGGGTGATGACATCAGTATTATGTTTCTGAAGTGGTCTAGTGTCTTGTGCTGAAAATAACAACAAAAACCCTTCAGTAATTCTTTCCCAACCACACAAAAATATATCTGCAGCTAGTACCTGGCAAAGCTGGTAGAAGAAGGTGTTTCTGAGATCAGGGTCATCCGTGAAAGTAAGCTGATGAATGCACTGTGTTCCCTTCAGCTTCTTTAAAAGCCACATTCCAGAATTAAATAAAGAGTTTGAACTGTAAAGATAGCCCAAGTGTGGACCAGATACAGAAACGTAGGTGTAGAGGTAACTCAAATATGGCTCCATGATGCTCTCTGCATCAAATCAAGCAGAGATTCATTGTGAACACTTCTAAACTTGGAAACACTCCTGTAGAAACATACGACACGCTAAAGCAAAAATTATAGTACCTGATAGAGCCGATCTTATAATTACATTTCCAATAGAGTGCCCAGCAAAGCTGAGCTTAATATCTCTCAAATGACCAGATCTTGAAACTTTATCCATTTTCTTCTTAACAAAAGAAACCACTTCTTGAGCCAACCTTTGTCCCATTTCTCTGAAATCTCCCGAGGTTTTATCTTCATTTGCCTGTGACATCAGAAACTCTATCTTGGGGTCTATCAACAGCCACTGATTCCGAACAAGCCGTAAATCCAGATGATGTCCCTAAAGCATTGTAGTTAGCGAAGGAAAAAAAACTTAGTCAAGAGACTTAATTAGAATTAGCAATGAGAAGAACTAGCGAATTTAGAAACTGTCCATAAAAAGCATGTATACTATTGTCACCTTGCCAACAGCAGAAGATTTCAGATAATGAATAGAGCAATAGTTGGCACACTTAACTTCAAACACATGATTCAGATGTCACAAAAGGTAGTTGTCAGCCACTATACGACAAGAAAATAGGAAAAGGCAGGCTCATAACCATATTCTCAAACTAACAGACAACAGGCATTTTGACCACCACACTAATTACTTCCACAATTGGATTGGAGATGGTAATGTCAACATTGTCAAAAAGCAAACGGGGAGGCAAACAAGACAGAACATACATCAGTTGGGATAATCACCCAATTGAGTTTCAAAGTACAATCGAAGCAGCTTACCTGAAAACCATGCACAAACACGACAATTTTCAAGTCGCGGCCAGTTGGTTGAATAGTAGGAAGAGATGGTTTGCTTCCAGCCTCAGCACTAGTCTTCAGTCTCAATCCTTGAGAATCTATCAGGTCCATGTTTTTAAAGTACGAATTCTCACTCATGGTACGGCGTGGTGCATTTATGACACGCTCAATTATCACAATAGGAATGCGCAAGGGATCACCGAATATATACAGGTCTTGAATTGAACAAGTATTAATCTGCACATGCAAAATAGTTTAGCAACCATAGACTGCCAAAAATCTTAGAACAGTTGATCAGCACCACAAGAGATCAGTCATTGTCTCACCCTCATTTGAGCTATGCTTCGTCGATGAAGCTCAGCACGTGTTGCTGCAGCTTGAGCAGGCTGGACAGAAAATGTGAAATTTCTAATCAACAACAAATGGATGAAGAATACAAGAAAAATCACAATCAAATAGACTAATCAAGATTAATTAATATTAACAAATCTTCAGCAAGGCACAAGAAATTCTACATCAACAGCTAGCTTCCACAAAGCAGCAACTCTTCTGGGTACACTGTTGGAAGTATCATCATTTCCACTGCTTATGTAATGATGAGGCATATCAACTTTCGAGTACACCATCCATATTGACCATTCAGCTCTGCGATCCTTGCTCCATCCGTCGCGCAAAAATTCCAGTATCTGTACTTTGTTTTCCCTGGAATATAATCAAGAATTCAAGACATTAGCGCACAAGTAGGCACCAAATGATGTCGGCTTTCGAGTAAATCATTTAGTAGTATGGAACTTGAAGATGGAGGCACTATAAAGTATCTAATTCCTCAGCAACAGTAAGGAGCAAATTATTCAAGTAACAGAATTACCAAAACAAGTCTCACATGCAACAGAAAGCAGAAGTTTCAAGAAGTTATAGTTTTGGTTCAAGCCCCAACTAGCTAAGGAGTAAACCTGTGAAACTGCATAAAGACGCCCCATAAATACGATTGTTGCGACCCCAGTGTATGGAAAATATTTGTTAAAGCATCCACCGATAGACTGCCCAACCTCTCACTTTGAATGTCCCAGATACCATTTTCTGTCTGACAGAAAGAAACAAATTACACATTAACAAGCTACTTTAACAGAAAATGAGAACTGTGAAAATCGTGTGAAACTTTAAAAAGGAAAAACATGGACCTCAAGACCATTTTGTCGCTTGCCTTGTCCAGAATATTCACCATCTGAAGTACCCAAACTTGCTTGCCAGACAGAATCTAACATCTTGATATCATTCATCTTTCGTTTGAACTCAGTCAAGTCAACAACTTTGTTAATGGCTTTGCTAAGTTTATGAATCTCTTCCATCAATACGTCTCGGGCTAGTAAAAAGGCCTTGACAAGTTCTACCTCTCTCAGATCTACAGGATCCAATTCCTGTTGAAACCAATCAAGTTCAGGACATGAGAAAATAAGGCATGGAACTGATTATGTAAAGATAACAGTGACTACTGCTTAAGGTTGCCACATGAGAGATCAAAATCTTGCGCAACTACGCGAGTGGATCACCAAATTTATGATTAAGTTAAGAAATGTTCCACCCCATTCCAAGAAGACACATGTGATAAACTGACATGGGAGACCAAACAAGAATCTTGATTTATTAGCTATCGAATTTCGAATAAAACTCGTCTCATTGCTAGACAAAAGGAAAACTAAGACTGAAACAAGCTGTATTGCAAAATAGGAGATGTGCCCAAAAGTTCTAAGCATCCACTTCCAGCAAACACGACCGGAAGATGTGCCCCAACAAATAACATAATATTGAGAGCTTGGCTACAGAAGCATGATTTAAAGGGGATGTAAATGACAATACAGAACATACTTTATCAAGCCCATTAGGACTTCCACCGGCTGAAGAATCGAGAGAATCACTGCAATAATCATTAAAAGAACCAGTTACTCCAAAGTACAGTTAAATGGGATGTTATCACTTTCAGGTTGAAGGTGACAAACCTGGCTACCTTCTTGTAATAACCAGCTTGCAAAAGGGTGACATGGACACTCACATCAACGAGCACAGCATGAAATGCGTCAAAGTAAACAGGGCAATATGAATGCACCCCCAGAAGAGCTTTGGGAGGAACACGAAACTCATGGATAGCAACAGAGGATGCTTCCAACGTAGACAGAAATTGATGCCTGCATATAGAAAATATATCAGTATTGCCAGTTACACAGTAGATTATTCAACCACGGTGCAACATGTATTTCCTCCATTTCCAGATAAAAGTTAAGCTGAAACTCACCCACTTTCAGTTATTGGAGCTTGAAAAAGCTCAAATTTCAAAATAACAGCAGACGAGGAAGGACCCTGTAAATGGATGGAGCATTAGTACACACTTCACGGATTAATCATGCGGGTAGCAGATGCAGAACATAATGTTTGAGAATCGAGAGCATTCAAGACATTCCAGGCTTCCAAAATGATACTCCCATAATAAGGAGTAATCATGTAAAAGTGAAATTTACTCTTCCTTATTTTTTGAAGTAACAACTCCAACAAACTTAAGATCTTTTGGGAGAAGTCCCCCAGCAGAAAAGAGAAGATGTGGATACAGTTTGGCAAGAGGAACAATTTCCAAGTCAACAATCTCAAAAAGAACTTCACCGCCTAAATGGCATATTGTCTTCTCCCTTTAGAAAAAAACAGTCTAAACAAGAACTATGTTCTAGGTAGCACATATCCCGCTAAGCAGAAACCTCCTAAGTGTTTGAATTATGAAGGTTGTTCTTCATGGCACGGGGAGAGAGAGAGATAATTACCTTACATTTACTTAGGGATAAATTAAACGATATCAGGATAGACATCCGAACATCCTGCCTTGCATATCTTATTCGGAAGGGGGGTGTCAAGAAGCTATTATCTGTATCATCAATCTTCCAAACTCCATATACGTCATCAAAGCCAAGATCAGGAGCTGCATGAGAAGAGTAGTGGGCACGAGAAGTCAGCAATGAAAACTTAACTACAAGCTATGACACCCAGGTTGGAAAAGGGGGGAAGAGAACTGACAAAGAAGAATCACACAGATAATCTTGGCCCTAAAACTATCCACATATGATGTACCTTCATATTGAACAACCCTTGCTGGGGTTGCTACAGTAGTAATCTCATCATCTTCCCATCTCATGGTGATCTTTATTTGGTACCATCTAAAAGATCAAGGATGACGCGAGACAAATCAATCAGTACATAATCACAAACTATGTCATGAAGAGCAACACTGCAGAGGACTATAACGAAAAAAATGGAAATCAGCACAAGGAAGCATACCCTTGCTGGAAAAGGTCAAGGTTGTGAAACCTGTGGATATAAATAGCAATTTCTTGCACGGTTTCTGACATCGTAGTAAGTGGCCTGATTCTAGTAGTGTGTATGCTTGCATCAGGTAGCCTCTTCTCTGACCCACTTTTAGTATTTAGACCAATCAACCATCCTAATCGTCGTATCATAAGTTAATAACAGTTCTTAAAACATGCATCTTGACAAATCCCCCTCCCGATTTTCAAACATCCTTGCCGACCCAAGAGTGACATCAAGTCCATCTCTTCTTCCACCTTGTACCAACATCCACTGGCATCATCATAAGCATACTAAAAACATAACTCTCATGAATCCCACATCCTCGATTCGCTTCCTAAGGCTGTCCCCGCTGGTGGAGAGAAAAAGAGATACGCTAGAAACTGCAAAAGAGGAAAAGATGAAATGCAAGCATGAGAAGAAAACACAAGCAAAGGATACCCACACTAACCAAACTATATGTCGGGTATCTGTAAACCTCAGCCGATCTCTCAGCGTCATCAAATGTTTTCAGAAAGGTACCAATATGACAAGGGAATTGAACTAGCGCGATCGGGGATAGTGAAGACGAATGATCGCAATCAAATGATGACGAACAAGAAATGCAGATTGCAGACAGAATCAAATCGGGGGAAAACGGGAAGAGAGAGCAAGGACGAACCGGAGAGAAATGGGAAACCAGACCTATAAATCCTTGAGCAGAAACTTTATGGGCAGATCTGCGTGGAAAAGGTTGAGATGATGGAAATGGCTTTTTGAGAGAATCTACAAGTGATGGTGGGGGGTGGTTGCAGTGGGCAGGGGCAGCTAGGGTTTGCAGCTTTTTCGTGCGAATTCGTTAATTTTCCATTTCTTCTTCTTCGCAGAGGTTTGGGGCGGAGATTGGGAAGAGCTGTTGGGAAGGGGGACAAAAAGGTTGGGTGCCAGACTGCTAGTTCCATATTAGCGTTCTCTTTTAATTTTGATTTTTATTGACGGGCTCTTTTATTTAACACATTGTACGCCTTTTTGTTTTTCTCGTTTCCCCACTCTTCACCCACTCCCTGGCAGCGCCGCTCTCCGGCCCCACCATACTATTCTTTTTTTTCTTTTTTTTCAGTTTTCCATTCAAGAGAAAATTTAAGTCCTCGTTTTGACTTTTCTTATCCGTTCCGTTCATACTTCACCCACCATTTTTCTTCCTCGATTTCATGTATTTTCTCTAGCAAGTGCATGATTAGGGATGATCAAATTGTTAGTGTTGTGGTATATGATCCAAGATTGAACTTCTCCCAACAACTCGAGTTATTGGGATCAACTGGTTCTTGACACAAATAACCCTAGCGGTGGGTATCCAACCGAATTGATTTGGTTGCGGAAAATGTAATGTTGGGGTGTTACTAGTATTGTATAGACTAATTAGTAGCGCATGAGATTAAGTGGTAGTGCACTAGCATTGTGGTGCACTACAATCCGCGCTAGCAGTGACGCCCAAATTGAAATGAGACTAAGTGGTAGTGCACCAGCATTGTGTTGCACTACCATCGGCACTGGCGGTGACGCCTAACTCGCCGCGCAACCTTCCACAAACCAGTGATCGTCACGTCTATATAAGAGTTTCCAAGCCCTCCAAAGAGGGGACTCCTTTTTCTCCTCCCTCACGCTCCACTTGGGTTATCCATTATTCTCTCTCTACCTTATTCTCTCAACTCACTCTAAACATAAACTGACTTGATCGTCGGAGCTTAATCCGGGGAGCAACCCCGAATTTCCACAGGTTATTTCCCTCCCCGGAGATCGGACGAACGGATCGTGAGTCAAGCCCACACCAACAAATGATAATTGTTCATACCTCGAGCTAGATGGTACAAACAACTGGCGTCCACCGTGGGTCAGATTCAATGATTCCACTCATCTCATTAGGTGCAACAACAACTATGACCGAGTGATGAATGTCGATGAGTGTGCTAGAAAAAAAAATTATGATCTTCTTTTTCTGGGTTCGGATACAAGAAGCAAGAGACCCAACCCAAATCGTCGACTCCCGCTGGAGTAATTCCTTCCAAAAGAGTCAGATCTACTCCTTTGTTGCCGAAAAGGAAAAATCCTAACCCATGTCCTTCTATGCATCACCAGGAGATACGACAAAAATCTGGGAAAGTTCTAGTGACTTTTGGCTTTGGGAGGGAACTATATCTCTCACCATCATCCTGAACACAGCAACAAACGGTCCTCACCATCGTCCCACCGTGTCCCTCCCAACGTCTGCCTCATCGCCTTCTCCCTCCAGCACCGCACCTCAAACTCGTGGTCTACGGAGCCTCTCCTTTCTCCCAATAGCAAGAGGACGAAAAAGAGGGTGTCGGAGCTCCGGCGAGAAAGAAGAATATGGCTCCGTCAACATCACCTTATCTCCCAATCTCCAAAGTTTTGGAGCCTACAGTCAAAAAAGAGGTAACAGTTGACATGACTGATTTTTCAGAGCCACTTGCTCACTCCGTGAGAAAAAGAAGACATGCGGAGTTTCCGAGGCAAACTTTGCGCAAGTGGACTACAGGCTGGAGACATCTCGCGTCGAAACCGCCTGCATCGACCCTCCTCCACTGCCTTTCTGCACAACAAGACTTCGCGCGCGAGCTATGGCGGTGCTATCCTCCCTCACTCTCCGCTTCTACTCCAACCGCTACTCTCATTGACGGCGGAGCCGCGCTTCCCGCTTCTCCGCTTTCTTTATACGCCGCCGCATTACCAGCTTCTGTGTAAGCAAAGCTCTATCATTCCAAGATTCCTCGAAGCTCTGCTCACTCTCCCCCGCGCTCATCCCTTCCGCCAACCAGCTTACGACTGGTCTGCTGTCCCTTGGTGGCGGAGAGCAATCAAACGCACGTTAAAGGAAAACACAGAGCAATTGGAACGCCGCAGAAGGTAAGGCGTGGAAAGGAAGGTGAAATCAAAAAAACATCGGTTGAGGGACACTACCGCTTCGTCAGTCGTTGCCGAGCATTCCACCCGATCTCTAAACCCAAAAAAAAATGATGCAATCGTTTCCATCGGCAGCGGAAAGAAGAAGCTCAGCGGAAGGTAGGGGTGGGCATTGGGTGGGTCAGGTGGATTTTGACCATAAAATGCACCCACCCGCGCTTAAATGGATTGATAATTTTTAACCCACCACCCACCCATATTTAGTCTCGGGTTGGGTCGGGCGGATGGTGGATGATTTGGGTGGGTTTGTGGGTTCACCCACATCACAATGTATATAATATAAAGGAGTCAACTTGACATGATAATAGGCGAAGAGAGTTATCTAGGGAAACAAGAAGATGAAATAGGGCGAAAAATGTCGAATTAGTTCTTAAAATGGATAGAAATTCTATTATGAAAGAGTTTTCTACAGATTGAGATGATTTTCAGGTGCAAGGAACTAAGAAAAATAATTCCACAAAGGAATGAGCAGTGATCTAGGCACAAGAATTCGAAGAAAAAATAAAGGGAAGAAGAGGGGATCGCTATTTGGAAGGTTGGCTTTGAGGTTCAAACTCCAGGAGCATTCCTAGTTTATGTCTAACGTCTCCACTCTCCCCTCTCTAGCGCCGACGAATTTGATCTTTTTGCTGTTGGGTTGAGCGGGTCACCCGCGCACCCACCCACAACCCACCCACCACCCGGAGAATGGATCCCAACGCAACCCGTCACCCACCCATAGACCCACCCACTTAACGAAATTCGGGTCAAATGCGGGTGGGTCGGCCCAAACCCGCGGATGATCCGCCCGCATGCCCAGGCCTAGCGGAAGGAGAAGTCGAACACATTCTCTCATTGGGCCCACCACCGCCCATCCACTTACACGCAGGCCAATAATTTCAATGAGGGTCAACCTCTACCGTCTACCGCCCATCTCGCGGCAGATCTTTCATCAAGCAACTCGTGACCCACTTCGCCTTCATCTCCGCTAGCTTCTTCAAGCCCAAGTCGCTGCCCTTCAAACCTCTTCAAAAAGAATGCTACCGCCGGGATTCAAACCCGCGCCAGTACTCAATGTACAGATACTCTAACCAATATGCCACAAGCTCGCTTGTGAACGAATGAATCGGCACCTGGTTTCTTTCATTCCGCCCAAACTCTTAGTTCGCACATGAGAACAGCACTAGGGAACCGCCCATTAAGCAAAAGCATCTCAGTCAAAAAGCGCGACCCTGGTCTGTCCATCAATATTCAACCGCGCCTACACCGTAAAGCTAAGTATCCAACTTCTCTACCACATTTAATTTTATTTAATTTTAAATATTTGACTTTTATGACTAATGAGGACATGATGCATCAAGAGATTTATCGGCACCACTCAGGACATATGATTCCGGTCGAAGCCTCGACTAGGCAACGTTACGTAAAACTCCAATGTAAGAGCGATCAAGTACCTCTACATGCAATATGGGAGCGATTGATTTACTTACATTCACATAACGTGCGGCTACACAAGCTCACTCTACACGTGCGACTACTCAAAGCGCACTACATAAGGAGCGCCTACTCAAGCGCACTATATAATGTGCGGCTACTGAAGCACACTATATAATGTATTGCTACTCCAACGCACTTTACACGTGCGGCTACCCAAGCGCACAATATAAAAAGAGAGTGCATAGTGCATTGAAGAATTTCCAAAGAGCGAGTGCTCAACGCCTTACTGAAATCCACCACCTGGGGGGGGGGGGCAAAGGTCATTGAAGAATCTCAAAAGAGAGAATGCTCAACGCTTTAGTGAAATCCACCACCTGGGGGGCAAAGGGCATAAAACTAGCATCACGTCATATTGACGCACCACCAGTTGCGGGGCAACTAGGGGTACATGGGCCCCATCTACAGTGCTCGACAAAAAAATACGATAAGAACAAGTTAGAGATGAGTTAAAACTCATTACCAACTTGGGGGCAATTGTTGGGGGTGTTACTAAGCCTGTATTGCATAGACTAAGTAGTATCGCACCAGCATAGTGACGCCCAACTCTGGCACAAACTGAGGCTAAGTAGTAGCGCACCAGCATTGTGGTGCGCTAGCAGTGACGCCCAAACTGAAATGAGACTAAGTGGTAGTGCACCAGGATTGTGGTGCACTAGCATTGTGGTGCAATACCATCAGCACTAGCGGTGACGCCCAACCCGCTGCGCAACCTTCCACACAACCAGTGTTTGTCATGTCTATATAAGAGTTTCCAAGCCCTCCAAAGAGGGGACGCCTTTTTCTCCTCCCTCATGCTCCACTCGGGTTATCTCTCTAAACTTTCTCTCTCTATCTTATTCTCTCAACTCACTCTAAATATAGACTGACTTGATCATCGAAGTTTAATCCGGGGGCAACCCCGACTTTCCACAGGTTATTTCCCTCTCGGAGATCGGACGAACGGATCGTGAGTCAAGCGCACACCAACAAATGATAATTGTTCATACCTCGAGCTATATGGTAAAAACATTTATTTATCATTATTTTGGGATGAGTTTCTTCTTAACGAGCGGTAGATCCAGAATATAGTAGAACACTAGGCCGCTTTTGAATTAAATATTGGATACCATAAACAAAAAAAAACTATTGTTTTTATTCATTACAATGCCAATTGTACTAGAAGGTCTTTTAATTTGGAAAATCCATCAATAATAGAATCTTCATCCATACCGAGAGTATACTCTCTCTCAAAGAAAATAGCTAAGCAATCAACGAGAAATTCATCGCTTATTTTGTTGCACAAACTAGTTTTTGTAAGAGAGTGGTATAAGATCCATAATAACTTTCTCCCAACAACTTGAGTTATTGGGATTTGGGACCAACTAGTTTATGACATGGTATTAGAGTTGGTTTGACCAAGTGGTCGTGTGTTCGAATCTCCACGACCCCCAATATTAACAGTTGATAAAAGCATAATGTATGGTGAGCTTGTGCAAACTTCAAGCCCGTGATTTGGCTTTCATTTGAGGGGA